CCGCTCCCGGGTTGTCGCTCTGCTGCGTCTGGCCCGTCCTCTAAGCACCTTTGGAAGGCAGGGAGTGTGACAACGTACACGCTTTACTCCATACGGCCTTCTCATCACTTGCAACCTATCCAGACTGTATGTACCAGATGGGGTGGTGATCCCTTCCATCTAGGTTCGTACTCTAATGTTGCAGTGGGGGCATCAGGAGATGATTATGATATATTACCTGAAAGTGTGGGGGATGGCAGGCTTTTCTTTGCTGGGGAAGCCACTAGTAGGCGATACCTGCAACTATGCATGGAGCTTTCCTCACTGGACTTAGGGAAGCTGCAAATATGGCAAACTATGCAAATGCTCGAGCTTCAAGGATGAAAATTGACAGGAGCCCATCAAAGAATGCCTATTCTTGTGCTTCCCTTCTTGCAGATTTATTTAGGGATCCTGATTTAGAATTTGGTAGTTTTTCTGTAATTTTTAGCGGTAAGAATGGTGATACAAAATCCCCAGCAATTTTAAGGGTTATGCTTAATGAGCCGCGAAAAAGAAATTATGAAGGTGGTAGACCAGATCAGCATTCAAATAAATTACTTTTTCAGCAGCTTCAGTCGCATTTCAATCAGCAACAACAGCTTCATGTTTACACCTTGTTGTCAAGGCAGCAGGTGCTTGAGTTGAGAGAGGTGCGAGGGGGTGATGAGATGAGACTGAATTACCTCTGTGAGAAGCTGGGGGTAAAGCTGGTAGGAAGAAAAGGTTTGGGGTCTGCTGCTGATTCTGTTATTGCTTCCATAAAGGCTGAGAGGAGCAGTCGCAAACCCAGTTCATCTTCTTCTTCAAAACCAGGTGAGTTTTTGGTGTAATTTTACTTTCTTCCACAAACTATGAGATACTTTTCAGTATGAAATTTCTAACAATTTTTTCATGTTATTTTGGAAAAGGAATGTTGAAGCTAAAAACAGGCACTCTTAAGCGAAAATTGGTCAGGTATATTTCCCTACCTGTGTGCTATTCCTCCAATTTCTCAAATATAAAGTCTGGTCTGATCCTTGGTTTGCTTTCTTGTACTTTTAAATTCTATCAGAAGGGCAAAAGTAGTGAGGAATGGTAAAGGATTGGTGTCTCAGAATACAAATGTGATAAGAAGTAACGTGTCTGGTGAAAGTAGGAACCAAGCAACAGGCAACAAATGAATGTTTTGTGGCCCCTCCACCCAATGCAAATGTGGTAAATGGTAATGTGTTGGAAAAAATCCGGAACGTGAATCAAGCAACCTCTCACAATTCTGGG